ACCCTAATCCACCCTAAACCCTACGCCCTAAAACCTAAACCCAAAAAAAGCCGAATCCCTAACTAATCCACCCCAAACCCTAAACCCACCCCAAAAAAAAGCCGAAACCCTAATGCACCCTAAACCCTAAACCCTAAACCAAAAATAAAAAACTAAACCGCTATCCACCTTTAAACCCTAAGCCCTGGAGACCCTCGATCCCGAGGTCGAGGTCCGGGGCCTGGAGGCAGCTCCGCCTCATCGCTAGAGCTCCCTGCAAGGCTCTGGGTTTAGGGTTTAGGGTTTAGGACTTCGGGTTTAGCGTTTTTGGGTTTTGGGTTTAGGGGTTTAGGGTATAGGGCTGTTTACGAAAAGGGGGCGGAATTTGAAAAAAAGACGAACGGAGGGGCTCAGAAGAGCTTTATAACTTTGTAACATGGGCTCTTGAAGACTTGATGTAAGGGCTTTAGAAAGATTTTATGGTATAACGGCGCCTTAATAATTAGAGCAAATTTCGGTGTTGGTTATACTAATACCTATAGATGCACTATGACTCTGATACAGCTAGCGAGTACTCAGGACCCCCGTAGTAGATTCGCGTTTGGGGTGTCGCCAGTGGCTGATGCTTGTTACTAAACCCTGGTCTTATAACCCCCAAATATTTCGATCCAAATGCAGAACCCTGCGGTTTCCGAATCAGGTGTCTACGTTACAACAGATCCTGCATGACTATACTGCTGGAGTCCGGAGCATCCCGCAATAAAGATCACTGGGAGATCATATCACATGTGCGTCTGCGTATGCATCATGTGTACATATGTACTTATATATATATATTTATTTATTTATTTATATATATATATATATGTATATATCTATATTTATATATATATATATTCATTTATTTATTTATTCATTTTAATTTACTTATTTGTTTTTTGTTTGTTGATTTATTTAGCTATTTATATGTATTTATTTATCTATTTACGTATTTATTTATTTTGATAATTATTATTTCTATATATATATATATATAGAAATGTGCGCGTGCGTATGTAAAGGCAGGTGCATGTACATATACATACACATATACATGGCTTAATTTAAAGCTGTGTAAAGCTAGAGGTGCTCCAAGCATATACATGTATAATCTATCTACTGGTAGATCCTGTATCGTGCATAACATGCAAAACGGTTTAACATGCTGAAGCTTCTGCGGGGTCCAAACTAAACCCTAAACCCTAAACCCCTAAACCCTAAACCCTAAACCCCTAAACCCCTAAACCCTAAACCCTAAACCCCTAAACCCTAAACCCTAAACCGGGCCTTTTTGACTCCCGCAACGTCTGAGCCCTGAACCCTAAACATGAGTTTGGCCAACCCTAGCTCCCTAGATTAAAGGAAGCTACAGGTGGGGAGTTTAGGGTCCACAGGGCTTCTATAAGGCGTTTTTTTTTTGACCTTCCCTAAGGCTCCAAAAACGGCAACTACCACCTGAAAATGTCCTAGACGAAACCCTAAACTTATAAACTCTAAACCCTAAACATCCCTAAACCCTAGACCCTAAACGCTGAACCTTGCCTCCAGCTTCGTGGCTCCCCGACAGAGGCACACACGCAGAATGGCCTGGACAGAGGGGACACGAATCGCCGCTGCGTTACTGAAGCTATCTGAGTTTAGGGGTTGAGGGTGTTGGCATTTCTGAAGCTATCTGTGGGTTACTTGCAGCGTCTTCATAAGGATTGTCAGGTACTACTACAAGAGGTACTGTAAGCGATAGGAACTCCAGAGGGGTTGCAAAACGAAACGCTCGTGCCAGTTGATAATCACTCGCTGTGCATCTCCCACCGTTGACGAGATGCGCGTGTCGGTCTGTGTCAGCCACAACGACTGTTATGCTTGTTGCAAACATTCTCATCGTTTTGTCCACTGCGGTCTTTCACGTGATGCTCTGCAAAAAGATGCGCAGGGGCGGGAATTCAGCCTGGGCCTCTTCCATCTCGGTCATCTCTAGCCCCTCTGGCCCCGTCCTGGGCGGCCGACTGGCCGGCCGCAGCGCGGGCGGGAGACCCAAAGTGCTGAGAGCAGCAGTCAACGTGGAAGTAAGCAGCAGCATCGTGCGCCCAGCCATGCCAGTGCCGAAGGCGTGCCAAAGCTGGAAAACACAGCTAGCGGCCAATGCAAATCGCAAATATGCACGCGACAGTCCAGCGAAACTGTTGGTTGCGTCTGTGGGCAGCCGGACACCAAAGCTGAGGCCTATCTCAAACAGCATCGCATTGCTTAAGAAAGCAGCCACCACAGCAAAGCTGACCAATGGAACCAGTGGGCCCCAAACGATGGCAGTTTCCAGTAGGGTGGTGAAATAGGCATGCTGCTGCATCGAGTTCAGGGATTTGCTGGTCCTGGGGCCCCAGCCGAGCAGCCGAAGATGTCGGCCAAGATCGTCCAGGGGCCGGTCATCCTCCAGCTTGGATGCTCGCCAGGCCAAGACCATCGCAAAGGGCTGCACAGCAATCCGAATCAGCAGCTTCTTCAGGATCAAGGGCGATAGACCTTCGATTACAGATCTGCTGCAACGGCCGTCCCAAAGGCTCTCAGGATGTGCGCTGCACATGTCTCTCGTGGTATTCAGGATCTGGATGGGTAGCGGCGCAACTGTTTGAATCCCGTCTAGTGGCGCCGCCTCCCAATTGAATGCTGCGTTCCTGGGTTTCCCAGTAGCCCCTGAGGTAGTACGGCTACCTTACTCCTCTTCTTCACTCTAACTTGGGAGACATCTCCAACAAGACAAGGGACAAGAAGAAATTTTACTGGCGAACCTAGGTTCATGTCAGATTCTGCATCGCAGGCTGGCCACCACAGTTTCCACCCTGCCAGGCAATTTTCTTGCAGAGCGACTGCCACGAGCAGCGGCAGAAGCCACGCCGCGCACAGCCTCAGCGCCATGAGAAGTCTGTCCGCCTTGATCCCAGATAAACCTGCCAGGGTCTGGCACGGTTCTCGAACACTCCAGAGCCCCTTTGTTCAAGAAAAGATATACCTTAAATTACAGAAGGAACCTCAGTGTGCTCCAAGCTCTTTGTATCCTGAATTCAGGCTTTGTGACTCTCTGGGTCTAGGACTTATCATGTGGTCGCCTCTGTTGCGGCCTTTGTCTGATCAGGGGTCAATGCCCTTTTTCCTTGAATCTGGTTCGCAGAAATACTATCGAAGTTGCGTGTGGACCGTGCGGATGCGTGTGGATTTATACAGGACGCGTAAGTTTCCATGCTGATCCCCAGAACCAGCTGCACCTGCATACTTGATGGAGAGCTGTACTGCCAGCACCATGTCGATGCCCTCGAGTAAGAAGGGGGCCGTGCGGTGCGCGATCTTCAAGATCCAGTCTGCCACCAGGGTGTTGTCCTTCGGAAGGGCCTGTATGGAAAAGCTGAAACTCAAAACCTTGAGCTCGCGACCAAAAGCATGTACAACTCAGCGAGACCAATAGACTCTACATCCCCAAGGCACGGTACCGCCCACGCTGTGTTGAACCAAGAACCGTCAGCTTCAACTTTTTGACTACTGAAGTTTCTGTTTCTTCAGAGAGGAGTTGCAGCGCATCTAGTGAACGAATGGAATGCCCAGCCTGTGCCACAGAAAACAAGATGGATGGCAGTGAGATCATCGTCACTGGTACGATCCAGAGAAGCCACGCAAGCTTGCGTCTGAGTTGCGAAGACCCTTCTGATGGCACTGTTACGCCTCGACCTCACTGGCATGAAAGGGCGAAAGGAAGAGCAACAAGAGCCTGGCTCCCTGCTTACGGACTGAGACTTTCTTTAGACGGCTGTGAACTCCTTACATGCCTAGGGCTCAGGATGTATCGAGTGTAGATGTTTTGCAGCACCGGCAGCCTGGCTTGGGAAGAACAGATATCGCTGCACAGACGAAGAGGGTGGCAAGGCTCCAAACCAAAGTCACGAAAATCTCCGCCAGACGAGACTCGTCCAAGTAGGCCGCTGTGCTCCGAGCAAGCGGCTGGCCGCACTCGTAGTACCTGGATTAACCCTAAACCTTAATCCCTGAACCCTAATCCCTAGTCCCTAAGCCCTAAGCCCCAAACCCTAAGCCTTTGTAATACCCCTATAGAACCCTCACAGAGGTCTTTTTAAGGAGCCCTGAAGCCAGGTAGGTTTGGGACCTCAGTGGCCTGGCGCTCTCCAGCTCGGAAAAGCTGCACCGAGTCTTTCAGAAATCTCAGAGTCAGTATTCTAAGTGGGTTTAGGGTTTAGGCTTTATTGTTTAGGGAGGGTTTAGATTTTTAGGGCTTTGGGGCTTTGGGGATTTTTGTTTTTTTGAGCACCTTTTTTCCGTCCGCTAGAGTACCAGCCTTCGGAATCCGCAGTTGCGGAAGGCAACAGAGCTACGCTCTCACTGCAACCGTGACCTTCACACCGTGCAAACTGTCATCACGCTTAGGGCTTGCCTTTCAACGGCACCAGAGTCCAAACGTGTCATAGCACGACCTCACCTAGCTCGACCCTGTGCATCTCGATCCCATCTTGCTTAATCGCTTTGAAGTAGGTTGAGCCATGATCCACCCCACTCAACCAACACGACCCCATCCGAGAGCTCATTGTTCAGCCACTGCCAGTAAATCCGACGGAAGGTTGAGAAAGGAGTCCTACCATCGAGAGGCACTCGGCGATGCCCACACGTCTTCTCCGTGTTCAGACTGAAGGCTACAGGGCCGAGTAGGTGAGCTCTCCGCCACATTCGCCATCTGTAGAGGCTGAGGTACGCTTCCCCATGGTAGGCCGCGACCGAACCACCAGTAGCTCTGCTCGAAGTCGTTGTACGTAGAAGTGGTGGGTTGCAGAACCGCCTGGCTGTCGTTCGTCACCGTCTCACCAGACCCTTCGACCACTGTTGCTGTCGGCATATGCGAGTTGGATGCAGCGGAGCTGGGTGTAACAAGGGACACAAGCTCATCGCTCCCTGCATTCGCCGGCAGCAGGCCTTCTTGAACATCCTGTCCGCTGTGTGCTCAGGCTGACGGCTTCCTGGAGTTCATCTCGGATAGCTTCCAGCCCCTGCTCCTTCCACTTCACAAAGAGTCGGAACCCAACCTCACCAGAACTCTCGGTGACATAGCTGTCGGCGATGTAACCGTTCTTCCAAATACTGTACAGCCTCTCAAAGGTTTCGAAGTCGGGCTTGTACTCCACGGCATCCTCACCTCCTTCTTCACGGTCTCGTAGGATCTGGGTGGGTGCACACGCTCTCCCAGAAGCTCCCACGAACTCATCCTCAGCCTGCGCCACTGCCACCTGGGCCTCCATATTTGCGGATACCACTAAGATCTTCAGCAAAGCTGCGTCGCATCCCTTCCACCCTCCTAGCCACTGGTACATGGCTCTCACCAAGGTGGTCGAGCAGTGGTCACCCGCCTGAGCGCCATATGCTTTCAGGGGCTTGTCGATTCGGCAATCGGATTGTTTTCAAAAGGAGCCTGCCCTCCAAGTGTTTGAAGCTTCGCCCAGACCTCGTCCACCTTCGTCCAGCTCCGAAGACTACACCCCCAAACCTACAAACCCTAAACCGCGTCTGGGGTTTAATGTCCAAAGGGGCAGTCTGCAGACAACGAGTAGGGGCCGTAACAGTACTTAGAATAGGGCTTTGGGGTTAAGGCCTACTTATTGTAGGCAAAGTTTCGCCATGGAAACCCTGCCACCGTGCCCAGGTTTTTCTCGAGGTTGTTCAGTCGAGGGTAATGTTTCACATGTGTGGCCCCATGTTTCTTCGACCGCTCATGCAACCACCGAAACGCCCTTGACCTGAAATCGACCCATGATTCGGTATTCCGTTTGTCGAACCGTAACAGCCAGACCATGAGCTGTAGTTGCACCGAATTGAGGATTGTCATCGCGGATTTGTCGTGCGAAAAACAAGCAATGGCCCACGATGCCGTCGCTCCGGGCCAGGCTAACCCTCCAGCTACCCAGCACAAAACCTTCGGGCCTTGAGCCACTTGAGCCAAAATTTAAGGTTTTGGGTTTAGGGTTGAGGGTTCGCAACGAAACTCGAGCATGATGTTGAAAACCTCTATGAACAGTTCTAAACTGATGGGCGACGTATAGGCCAATAATAATCAACCGCGGCACCGTGCACCATGGAGGTAAGCAGGCAGCAGCAGGGCGCAGAACGCTGCAATCCACAGCGAGAGCCGCAGGCTCTGCATAAACGAGGCGTGGATGTTCGGAGCAATTACCTTCTGAGCAGCAATGCCGGGTGTTGTCTTAGCTTGGGAGCCTTGTGGGATCCAAAAGAATAAGAAGCAGCAGAGTGAGAATAGCGATAGCAATAAATATCATACCAACAAGGTGTCATTCTTATGTTGAGAGCTGAGAACTTTCCACATGCGGGACAGCTGTCTCTCCTGAGTGCTTCAAGCCTTGCTGGCTACCATAGGGGCCTGAATAATTAGAATAGGGTTGATACTATAACTATAATAAAGAACCCATAACAACATTGGTAGTTATTGAGGCCCCTCTACTACCTGAGTCAGACAAGTCATCTTAGGATTAAGGTTGAAGGTTCTAAGACCGCAGGAAGACTTTCTGGATCCTTCGACCGCGGATGCGGTTTGCATCCCCATTTCATGTCTTGGTGCCTGTGTACTTCGGGCGCTGGCTTGCCGAGATTGGCAATAGATGGCCCCAGCCCCCAGGATTGCCATTGGCAAGCCTGCCAATACAAGCATGTTTCCCCACCAGATCTTGCTTGACACATATAAGAAGTCCTGCAATTCCGTCTGGCTGACCCAGTTTGCAGTGATGTTGTCCCCTACACCAACCATGTTGCCCATCACCACAGTGGCACGCACGTCGTCGAGCCCCAGGCTTGCCGGCAACTTGCAGCTGAAGCGGTTCCTGTGCAGTGTGGCCTTCGCGCCTTCAGGTAAGCTGAGTCTGGGCACAGTCCCAGAGAAATCGTTACCATGCAGCGTGAGGAAATGCAGGATGGTCATGTTCTCCAGGCTGCTGGGCAGCGATCCCCGGAACCGGTTTTCATGCAGGGTTAGCGCCTGCATTCTTCTTGCATTTCTCCAGTGGGCAGGCAATGGACCCTCCAAGAAGTTCTTGTGAAGCAGGACAGCCCTAAGGTGCAGAAGCTGCTCACCAAGCTCGAGCGGGACTCGGCCCGTGATCTGGTTGTCGAAAAGCAGCAGATCCTCCAAATAAGTGAGGCGGCCAAGTGTCGCCGGGATCGGTCCGCTGAGCTTATTTTTATGTACAGCTAGCGTAATGAGGCTGGCCATGTTCCCAACTTCGGGCGGAATCCAGCCAGCGAGCTCGTTGCCAGATAAAAGGAGGTGTCTGAGGCTTGTCAGTTCGCCGAGTTCGCTTGGAATCGGTCCAGTCAGACGGTTGTCAAGCAGGGTGAGAAACTTCAAATCAGCGAGCCGGCCCATGGTCGAGGGGATTGGCCCACTGAGCTTGTTGCCATGGAGTGCCAGCGTGATGAGGCTGGTCATGCTGCCGACCTCACGCGGAATCTGCCCAGTAAGCTTGTTGTTGCCGAGGAAGAGGTAGCTAAGTTTCCCCAGGTTACCGATCTCAGTGGGAATCGCCCCAGTGAGCTGATTCCCACTGAGCTCCAGAAATTGCAGAGCCGTGAGATTGCCAAGCTCAGCCGGAATGTTGCCTTTCAGCTGCTTTCCTGGCGCGTTAATCGCCACCACTCTTCCATCTTCGAGCTCTACCAGCTCTTCCACGTCCCTGGCCCCCAGATCCGCAAGAAGTCTGAACGCAAGGTCCCGCTCCTGGTTTAGGGCGTACAGGTTTAAGGTTTAGGGCGTATGCAGTCCCCACGCGGCGGGTGCGCCGTTTGCTTTAAGAATAGGGGCGAATCTACTTATCGTGCGCTTGTGTCAGCATGTAATCCCGCCCCAACCACCCCAACTATTCTCAATTCGGGTTTAAGGGTATAGGAAGGGTTCACCCCCCAAACCCTTCAAGGGGGGCTTTCTGGCTCTCTGCTTCCCTTCGCGGTTCTACATCAAAACGACGACGCTTCACTTCAAACCACAGCTGAGAAGGATGGCGTCGGGTTGTGGGGTCCTCGCAGCCTGTGCCGGCGGTCGCTGTCGCTCGAAACTGAAAATGGACCCTCGCAGGTTTGGGCCGGCTGGCAAATGGAGATTAGCAGCAAAGGCACCGCAATAGTTTCCTTTGACAAGAAGGATCGGCCCAGGACCCACGTTCTTGGAATCTGCAGGCTGGCCGCGAAGCAACAAAACTCGTCTTTTGTGGCAAGCTTTTATTAATGGTTTTAGCCCTGGACCGACCAGAGGCTCGGGGGTCCAGGCCAGACTCAAACACCAAACCCCAAACCTTGCTGTCAACGAGACCTGGAACCCGAAAACCGACCAAACTCTACCCTGCAAGCCCTGAACACCAAGCTCCAGGGCTTAGGCCGCCCCGCCTGCGCGGGCGGCACGAAGTATTCGAGACTTTTCGGGCCTGGGAGCCTCCCTGCCCTGCCCTTCTCTCCCTGCTTCCTGTTGTCTGAAAGAAAGCTGAAATGAGTTTAGAAATGAAATATTTGGGTGCCTTTGTCGCCCTTCTCGCCCTTTCCAGCTCAAAAGACGTTGGCGTACCCGCCGTGCTGGTGCTCTTACTGGAAGTTAAGCACTCTCAGCTGCTCATCGTAAAACTGAAGCCCACGAAGCATGGCGGCCACTCGTGGTCTGGTGCAGCAAGCACTGTTGCACGCAATGGTCGTGGGTTTGGGATCCTCATTACAACAGCCGGACGCCGGTATTGTGTGAGGCGTAGCCGAGTCATTTGCCCGTATACCGGGCGGCTTCACCCTCCCACACCGTTCTGTCGGAACGCTCGGCCGGGGGCCTCGGTCAGAGCCTCCATGGTCAGCGGCGGGCAGTTTAGGGCTTAGGGTTGCTCCTGAACGGCCGTGACTGCCGACATGCACGACCCAAGCAGCGCATTGAGCTTCACCATGGCAGAGATCTCAGAATCCCGGATCCAAAAAGCAGATCCCTTAATGGGGGTTCCTATAAAGTACCCCTTGGTAGTAGAGGGTCCCAACTTAGGGGATCTACTTTCTAGATCCTTCCGGTGGTCTAGGGGCCTCTAGGGTTTGGGCGGGTTTGGGGGGGGTTGGGGGGGGGGGCTTCCAGGGGTTCAGGGAGTTAGAGTTTAGGGTTCAGGTTCAGGGGTTTGGGGTTTAGGTTTAGGGTTTAGTTTAGGGTTCAGGGGCTCGGACCACGGGTCTTTTTTGGCCTTACGTTTAGAGTTTAGGGTTTAGGGTTTTAAGGATGGCATGAGTTCTGACGATGAGCCGGCCGCAAGCTCAATCAGGCTGCCGTCGTGTGACTGAGCATCTCGATCCGAAACAAACATGCAAGGTCCAGCTCGTGGACCGGGACTGGTGAGGAACACCCCAACTTCAATCCTAAACCCCAAGTCCTAAAAGCCTAAATCCAAAACTCAATCCTAAACCCCAAGTCCTAAAAAACCCAAATCCCATCTTCCATCCCAAAACCCCAAGTCCTAAAAAACCCAAATCCCAACTTCCGTCCCAAATCCCATCTTCCATCCCAAAAACCCCAAGTCCTAAACACCCCAAATCCCCCAAAACCGTATTTTTCTGTAGAACTCTTTCGGGGGCGAACACGACCTGGAGCTCCCGATCCTGCTCTTTAGCCAAGTACTATAGTATAGGGGCCTTAATAATTTGAATAGGGTCTTGGGGGGGTTCCTTATTATTATAATTATAGTATAATATATTTCGGGCCTTAATAATTGGAATAGGGTT